TCAAGGTCAGTAGTTTGAACCCACTATACAGAAAGGACTCAGTGGCATTAGGTTTTTATTTGTTTGTTTTAGAACCAGATGCAAAATTTCTTTAATGAAGGGACTTGAACAGAGCAAGGAAGTTGTTGTTATGTGCCATCGAGTTGTCTACGACTCATAGAGACCCTATGTACAACAGCCCTAAACCCTGCTGTATCCTGTGCCATTCGCACTGCTTCTGACACACCCATCCCAATTATCCCAGTCACTGAATCAATCCACCTCATAGAGGGTCTTTCTCTCCCGTGCCATCCTCTATCCTCCCAAGTATGATGTCCCTCTCCAAGGACTAGTCCCTCCTTGCAAGGAAGAGAAGCAGTTAATTTTCAAAGATAAGTGGCTTATCATCCACTTTCAGCCTTGACTACCAAATTCCACCCATTCTTTCTAGCTCAAAGAACTCAACATCCAAGTAGCTCTTTTGACTGTACCCACTGGAATTAAGCAGCACTATTTTTAAATTTCAAAATATCCAGTTCAGTGAAAAGAACTATCCTGCTGGACAAAAGTACACTTGAATTCTTTTGCTTGTGAATTGGATGATCTCTTGAGCAATTCATCCTGCGCCTCCCAACCTCTGTCTGCTCCTCTGTGAATGAGTACCTGCCTCATAGGCTCATGCAAGCTCTCAATGCAAGAAGGCATTGGACACAGCTCCAGCACACAGGGCATGCTTCAAGATGAAAGGCATCACCGATACCAGTTAGATTTCCTACTTCCTGTGGGTGTTGTTTTGTGCTCCAGAGTGGTGCCAACTCAATATATAGAGCTTCCCCCCCCCAAACTTCTAGAGCACTAAAGAATAGCAAAATACTGCATAGCGCCACTGTTATAAAGCAGGTCTGACCTGGGGGGGGGGTGGGAGCGGAATAGGATAAGGGTGCATAGATAATGACCATTGCATTGGAAAAGATGAAGAAAAGAACTGTTTAAAAGGAATATATAATTAGGCATTATACATACAACAACAATGCAGAATAAGACGTGTATCACTGTAAAAAGGACTGGGAGGGGGGAAGGGGAAGAGGGGAGGTAGGTCATTGGGCAACAATGAATTAATTTTTTTTTAAGTGAACTGGAGGATGGGGAAATGAGGGGGGTGGGTAGAATGTGTAACAATGAATAAATGAATGAAAATCTAACTTCTCTGTAAATTGGCATTAAAGTCACAATTAAAATTTTATTTTAAAAAAATCAAACTCTGGAATATACCAAAATTCTTTAACATGAAATTACTCTGTCACACCACGGGTCTAAATACTCAGAATCTCCATCAGGTTAGGGGGATGGTGGAGCCGCCCAGCAGTGCTGTCTGCAGTCTTTAACAAATCTCCATCCTCCAAGGGGTTCGGCTGTGTGCTCACCCAAGTTTGACAATGCCATTCAGAAAGTGCAAACTTACCGCTATCGAGCAGATTCCAGCTCAGTGATGCCACACCAAGTTTCCAAGGCTATCAATCTTAATCTTCGTCCCTTGGAGCTGATGTTGGAATTGACCTGTCAGAGATGCAGGGACTTTGGGTGCAGCATAATATGATTCAGACAAAGCCACAGGGCCACTAGACAACACTAGACAATGATCCTCAAACTCTTTTCCTATGGAAATTTGAGGCTCCAAAGAGGCACTTCTACATCAGAGGTTCTCAACCATAACTGGGTGGGCATCATCACAGCAATGTCTGAAGATAATTCAAGATTCTAATTTACTATCACTCCTCACTAATTATGGGTTCCACATCTGCAAACTCATCTACTCACTCAAAAGCAATATTTGTGGCACTGTGGAAGTCCATGGGAAGAACAAAAAAGTTGAGTTTCCCAGCATATGTGACTAGCTAGGAACTGAATACTGTTCCTGGTCTTTTTAGTTACTTGCTATACAACTGAAAATTGAATGGCAGATCTAAGGACAACAAAAGGAGAATCTAAGCCTTTGAGCTGTGGTGTTTGGAGAAAAGAACTAATTATCCCATGGACTTCCAAAAGAATAAACAAATATGTCTTGGGAAAAACGCAACCAGGGTGCTTCTTAGAGGCAAGGATGCAAAACTTCACCTCATATACTTTGGGTATATTGTTAGGGGAGGTAAGTGCTTGGGAAAAGGCATCATTCTTGGAAAGGTGGAGGGTCCGAGAAAGAGAGGAAGACTCCCAACAAGAAAGACTGACTGACACAGTGACTATAATAATGGGCACAAGCACAGCAGAGATGATGTGGATGGCACACAATGGGGGGGGGAAGGTTCATATCTGTATTATATAGGGTTAATATAAGTCAGTTGATTTGATGGTACCTAACACCAGTGTCCTGGGGGCTTTAAAACAAAACAACGGTGAATAAGGAGAATCTGCTATAATTGTCTTTAATTGGTTTGGAATGAGGCCCAGGTGTCAAGATTTTTAAAAGATGGCCAGAGGATGGGATGGGTCAGCCAAGGTTGAAAACAGCTGCTCCACTTGGAGCTAGACTCCAGGGTTTACCAGCAATGCCTCTGAGGCTTCAGCGAAAGCAGCCTTTTGTCTGAGCTTGAAACTAAGCCTCCAGTTAAGACTGATTTTGCAGGAAAGATTCTTTAGCTTTAAAAAATAAAAAATCAGTACATCTGGAAACAGCTGGTCTAGCCTCTTAGAGCCTTGAGGCCCCACATCCTGGTTTTTAATTCACCTTTGTGTCTGTCCCGCGGTCTTATAATATAGTCGGTAGATGGTTAATAAATATTTGCTGGAAGGTTGGAGAGCTTTGCTTTATTTGTTTTCTGGCTCCAATTAAGTGTTCAGTTCCCCAACATAGCAACTTAACAGTTTCTTAAACATCTACAGCCTCAAACCTCAACCCTGAAACAGACTGTGGTGCAGACAACCACCCAGAGAACACGCTGACATACCTCTCCTTGGGGTCACATACACCATGCCTGTTGCTAATGACTGATAAATATAAGCAAATGTTGCTTTAGTCAGCTGGGAGAGCATGACATTTGTCAGCAGTGCTGGCCTCCCAGGATAATATTTGGATTGTTTCATCTGAAACTGTCAAATTACAAGAGCATGATAGAAAAGTGTAGGAACTTCACAGTAAACAGTAACTGGCCCCTTGTCAATAAGTTAGAAGTGGGGGGGGGGGCGTACAATCTCTTCTGCCAAAATACACGGGGCTGGAATGCCTGCAGCCGAGGCCTGGGGCCAACAAGCAAAGGGGAGCAAGTTCCTCCCCTGGTTCTCAACCACAGAGGCAGCGCAGAAGCCCCTATCCTACTGCCCCCACCCCCAGGACATTGCCCTCCACCACCACAGCTGGGGGCTGGCTGAAGGATGTAGGGCCTTGGGGAAAAAGAGCACTACCTTCAAATCCCAGCTTTTCTGCTGCCTCTTAGCAGTCATTTGAGCTCTCAGGGCCACAGATTCCTCAGATCTACTTTATCAGGTCCTTAGAGCCATGACTGCCAGGTTCAAATCCTAACTCTTCATTTACTAAATGCAGCCTTGGGCAATTTACTTCTCATACTTTCACCTCGAAAATGGGGATATAGTAGTATGTACCTCACAGGTTGTCAATGTCAAATGATCAGAATAGCACGTGTCACAGCACACCCATTCAATAAAACTTTTGTTGTTGGGTCCTATCCTGCCGATTCCAATTCATAGCAACCTCATGTGACAGAGTAGAACACTTTCACTGGATTATGCAGCTATAATCACTATAGTAACAGATCACCATAAAGCCACTAAGGATTCAACCCATCAGCAGTCAAGCACTTAACTGCTGCGCCACTAGGGCTGCATCATTCACTTCACCTTGGCTGCTAACAGAAAGCTTGGCGATTCAAATCCACACAGAGATACAAAGGCCTGGTCATCTAAAAAACAGGCAAGAGTCTGCGCAATGACAACTGGCTGGGGGTTCTGAATAGTCACTGTGAACAAATCTGCATTCTTTTTTTTTTTTTAAATTAATTACCCAAGTAGGCACTATTTATTGATCAATAGAGAAAAAAAAAACCACACAAAAAAAAAACCCCAACCAAACAAACCAGTAATGGCAGGCCTCACTGCCCACTTTCCAAACCAAAGTATCTTTTTTTTGTGTCATCAGTTTGTTTTTTAATCGGTATTCTTTAATCTAGCATATTTACAAAGGGCTTGACATGTGAGACTTTTTAGATCTATACAATTACTGTGACTTCGTACTGCCATTTCTTGACTTTGTATTTATTAAGACTTACACTCTGGTGGTATAGTCCACAGAAAGTTACCCTGCTAACACAAAGTGTGACTCTTTGGCAGTATGAATCCAGTATTTAGTTCCCAAGAAGAAAGGTGGGGAATCTCTTCTGCAATTTAGAGCCTATGAAATGAAAATTTATTGGAGGGAGTCAGCTATGAGTCAGTTCTCTAACTGAAGGGAAGTGAATGAGTGAAGTCTCTAATTAGACATGTACACAAAGTAGTGTATTTATTCATAATACTTTGAAGTTCATTGAATCCTGAAATCCACGCCTGCACGTATCTACCAATCTAAAGATTCAGGACTGGTTCATCCAGGGAAAAACACTAACAAATATTAGCTTTTAGATTAGAAATGCTTCTTGTCTTCTGAGCTCAAATCCACACAGCCTAAGCCAGGTCTCTCCTTTCTTTCAGGGATCACAGGAACTCAGGTCTTCTCATCCCTAGAGACCTCCTCCTTTCAACCCTCCACAAGATTTCCCTAAAGATGCCTAAGGACCTCCTCAGAATTAGCTCCACTTTGAAGATTATTCAGACCTCCAGAGTGGGATGGGAGTGGCCTCAGCCCTTTAAGTGGCTGCAAAATAAATCAGAAGATGAAACGAGATGTAGGAGCCAAGAACTCCTCCCCACCACGCAGAAGCAACACATTAGCTGAGCAACGTGCACAGCGCGCCCAAGGCGGAATCAGACACAGGGACAGTTGGGGAGGGGGCAGAGTGCAGGAGCTGCCTTACCTTCTTTCTGCTGTGGGTTCGCGGCCCCGGGCTTGCGGATGCCGGCTCCCGCGCAACCCCGCAATGCCCTGGCGGCCGGCGTTGAGGCTTGCGCGGGGCTCTTCGTGGGTCCGGTGCAGCGGCACCGATGTGCGCACGGCAGACACCACATGGCCCGCGAAGGCGTGCGCAGGGGTTCCAGGCAGCGGCAGGCCACGCGCGCGGTACGAGCCAGGCAAACAGGGCCGCGTCTGCTCCATCACGCCGCCGCTGCAGCTGCGCGAGCAAGCCGACCAGGGACCCCAGGCGCCCCACACGCCCGGGGAGCCGCCGCCACTGTCCTCCGGAACGCCTTCCACCGTTGTCATCCGCTGCGGGACCTGAGGAGACAGAGGCTGATTAGGGAACCAGAACTCCCGCTCCTCCACGGGTATCCCCATAGCTATCTTTGGGCAGGGCTGAATTACTTACCTAAGCATCACAGTAAGCACCTTGCCTATTTTACAATCAGAAAAAACAGATGGCCTAGCCAGAGTTATATTCCTTTTACAAAGCAGTCGTTATGTATATACACACAGAAACACAGATGTATACATATTGTTGTTGTTGCTATGTACCATCGAGTCAGAATTGACTCACAGCTGACTCTCCAGCAAGCTTTCAAAAGCAATAAATTGCAGAAGAGGAGAGTGCTCCTCTTTCTGCTGAGGGGCATTTGGTAGATTTGAACTGTGTGCCTTTGGGTTGGCAGCATAGGTCTTTACCACTAGGCCACCAGAGCTCCCCTATATATGTACATACATACATACATACATACATACATACATACATACATACATACATCAAGCATGCGCATGTCTGGTTCGACTCAACAACAAAGTCTCTAAATAGATGTATACACAAAGAATCACAGCTATTTGATAGCCTAGTTGGTAAAGAATTGGCTTCCAGTCAATAGGTATACGGTTCAAATCCACTAGCTGCTTCACGGGAGAAAATTGGGCAATCTCCTCCATTCTATGCCATTTACAGCCTCGAAAAGTTACAGGGTCTCCTGTGAGTTGATTCTGACTCAATGACAATGAGTTGAGAGTATGTACACTGGGGAGAAGTGGGGTTCAGGAAGGCAAAAGGACCCCAGAAAGACATAATGCAGTTCTAGCTTTGAGTGCCACAGACTTGAGGGGCTCTAACCATAGATTAGATTATGGCAATACCCTCACCATAGATCATAGACTGTTTTAACCTTGAGGAACTTCCCTTGAACCTTAACTTGTTGTTGGTGGTGTGTACCGTAGAGTTGGAACTGACCCATAGCTGACCCTCCAGTGGGTTTTCAGAAGCAGCTAATTGCGCAGGAGGAGAATGTCCATCCTTCTCCCACAGAGCAGCTGGTGGCCTCAAACTGCGTGCCTTTGGAATTACAGCACAGCTTGGCCACCAGAGCTCCCTGACTGCCTAAAAAGCAAACAGATATGTCTTGGGGAAAAATGCAACCAGAACGCACCTTTGTGGCAAGGATAGTGAAACTTCAACTAGCAACTAATATACTCTGGGCATGCTGCTAGGAGAGGCTATTCTTTGGAAAAGGATCTCATGGTAGGAAAGGTGCAGGGTCAGTGAAGGAGAGGGAGTTCTTCAACAAGATAAACTGACATAGGGACAGGAGCAATGAGCTCAAGTGTGTCAGAGGTGGTGAGGATGGCACAGGAGAGGACAGGCTTCAGATCTGCTGTTCATAAGGTCATTATGAGTTAGTAAATCACATGAGAGGATACTGCACCACCAAGATGATGTCAGGGATGGTACAGAGCTAGGCATCAGATAGTCTATGGAAATCATGCCCACAGAGTCAAAGGTGAGGTCAGTGCAGCAGTTCCTGACTATGGCTGTATGAGCCACAGGGGTGGGGACACGCGAGAACCTTGTCCATTCTAGTAACTTCAGTCCATCCCTATCAACTCTGAACCCAGGGGGAAAAAACCCTTTACCTGCTAATAGAGCTGACTCAATTTGATGGTTTAGCTAACAATCAGTTGGGGGCTGGAAACCCCTTGTTTAAGTAAATCAGGACCTGGTGGGTGGGCCTTTTGTATTGAAAGGCTGTTGGTCCCTGGGTCCTGCAGCCCTGGGCCTGGTGTTAATTTTGTTTGGGAAGAACTTTCTCCTAAGTGGTACAGCACTGGTCTGTCAATTTGCTGTCCTGTGGTAACTTGGGGTTGCTATGATGCTGAATGCTGTATGACTGGTGTGTCAAATGCCATAATGGGTATTCATGGTGGACAGTGTTTGGTGGAACTTCCAGAGTAAGACAGGCTTGGAAAAAGGATTGGCATCCACTTCCAAAACAACATGTCTTTGGAAACTCTGTGAACATTAGAGAAATGATGATAGTTATAAAACAGGGTTCAGATCTTTTGATCATAGGGCCACTAAGAGTTGTGCTCAACTCAACAGCACTTAACAAGAATACAGAAAAAAGAAACAACCCACAATGAAATGAAGGAAAAAATAAAACTTTCATTTTCTCCTCTCCATTTACTGAGTTAGGAATTCCAAACTGATGCTGGATTTAATGAGCTAGCTGGGGCAAAAAAAGCCTAAATATGGTAAGTCTTGATTCATAAAATGATACCCCAAGTGCGTAGAGTGGGTTTAAACATACCTACGCCACCCCCAAATACAGCTACATTCTAATCCCCAGAGTTTTGGACCTATTACTTGATCAAGGGAGAAGGGGGAAAGAAGGGGGTTTTGCAGAGGTAATTATGTTAAAGATCTTAAGATGAGATTTTCTAGAGTACCCTGAAGAGCCCTAAATCCAGTGACAATTGACCTTGTAGAGTTGGAAGGGAAGACACAGAGGTTGGCCATGTGAAGACTGAGGGTGAAGACTGAAATGCTACAGCCATAAACTAAGGACTTGGGGAGCCACCAGAATCTTGAAGGGACAAGAAAGGATTGTCCCTAAAGGCTCTGGAAAGGTGTAGGCCCAGACACTTGCTTTAAGATCTCTGGTTTCCAAGAGCCAGACTATGTTTAAGCCAGATTTCAAATGAATTGTCTTAAGCTACCAGTGTGTGGCAACTTGTGATGGAGGCCACAGGACACAATACAATGTGTGAGGGCTATGAGCGCAGAAGGGAAGTGGACCAACATTTATTAGCTCAGCACCTTCAATGTGTCCAGCACTGTGTAAGCAGGACACATGCACAGGGGCCAGCTTTAGGAAGCAGCCAGTATTAGCCTCATAATGGCCCCCCTCATGCTCCGTCTGCTGCCCCATCAAGCCCAGGAAGCTCGTGTTAGCCAATGTAATTCCCAGTGAGGAAAAATAAGCCCTGAGATCCAGCATGCTAGTGCCCACGGCCTCAGGCCACTAAGGTGTGCACACAGCAGCAAAGTGGAGGTCTCCAGAATCCTAGTGTTCTTTGCCACCTGTGGCACATGGTCTCTGCCTGTGAAGTTGTTGGGTAATGGAGTAAATGAGTGGAAATAAATCCACTGTAATAGTCACTCTCATGGAAGAATAATTGGGATAAATGGATAGAGACAGGAATATGTTTCTGGCACATCTGAGGGTTTCTGTCATCTACCACCTCCTGACTGTGCATTAACAGAGATAACTAAGACACTGCCTATAAAAGGTCTGGATTAGCCAGGCAGCTATATTAAAATTCCACTTCCTAGAGCTAACCCCACTCTAATTTAGTTTCCTATTGCCAAATTGGGTAGAGTCCCTGGTGGAAGAGAACATGAAACCACATTCCACCCTCTTCTAGTCAATGAGAATTTTTTCATTTATATTTGAATTATGTTGAGTGAGTTGAAATCCATCTGAGTCCCCATGGTGGGGATCTAACCACATACTCTAGAATTTTATTTTTATAGCAGTTATCCAGAGACAAAGGATAAAAACAAGACAGAGAAACAAAAAGGAGAGTAAAACAGAAAAAAGAGGATTTAAAAAAATATAAGTGAAGACAAAAGAGCTTAAGATACAAGTCGCTGATTGTACCAATCTCTCATGTTCCCACCACTCTTTCCAGCCCTCCTAACAGTCCTGGCTTCTCTTTCTTTTCTAGAAATCTGGCGTTTCCAGCAAAGCATGATGGGAAAATTTTCAAGTGTCTGAGACACAACACAGGCAGTCTCTCGGTTACCAATATGATCCATTCCTAAGTGTGTCTTTAAGTCAAATTTGTAGGTAAGTTGAAACAGGTGCATGTGATTCTTATTTAGCCTTATTTTTAAGGCAAGAAACTCTAGTGGCATAGCCTGTAAGGAGCTGTTCTGCTTACCCAAAGGCTCTGCTTCTCTGGCGGTTCGAATACACCAGTGGCTCTGAGAGAGAAAGATGGACAATCTCCTCCCATGTGAATAACAGCCTCAGAAACCAGTGGAAAGACAGTTGTGAGTTGATTCAGGCTCAATAACCTGAGCTTAATACAAGGAAAGACAGGCCTGGTGGTATAGTGCATAATGTACTGGGCTGCCACCTAAGAGGTTAGCGACTTGAACCCCCCAGCTGCTCCAGAGGAGAAAGATGGACACTCAGCCTTGGGTTTGGTTTTGCTTAGTGTAAGAAAAAGATGGCACAGTGCATTACATGTTGGGCTGCCAAACAGAAGGTTGGAAGTTGGAACCCACCAGCCTCACCATGGAATAAAGATGAGGCAGTGCCCCCGGTAAAGACTGATGGTCTGGAAACTTGATGGAGGGGAGCTGAGTTGAAACAAATTTAAGAGGAATGATTTTTAAAGCGTAATAAAAGGCTCAATGTTTTCCCATTATATAAATGCTACACATTGCTCACAGGGGTTGGTTCAATCAGTTCAAAGTAAGGGCAAATTTACATAACATTAAAGAGCAAGTAAAAGTTATCAGTAAGTCAAGGGTTCCTAGTCTGGGGACTTCCTCTATTAAAATAGCTACAGGACCTCTGTATCCTGTGAAACCATCATTGTCCAGTCTATGCTGATTCATAATGCCCTTACAGTAGAGAGAGCTGTCCAGGGTCACCAGGACTGTGGTCTTTGTGGGAGGAGACTGACACATCTTTCTCCTGTGGAGCAGCTGGAGCATTTAAACTATCAACCTCTATATTAGCAGACAAGTGTTTAACCACTGCACCAAGAGGGCTTCCAGAATGTAAATCACGGTGAGAGAATGAAAACAAACCAATTCTTGAAACTCAGAGCCTGCGTCTCTGTAACCTGCTAAGATGCTCCCAATCCACAGCACACACAAAGACCGAAGCAGAGAGCCTGAGGTGCTTCCAAAACTTGTCTTAAACCACCAAATTTTCTTCATGTAGAAAGGAGTTCTATTAAAAAAGAGACAACCCATTTGCAAGATCAAAAGCATGAATGGAAAGTTA